GGAAGACAGTGGTCTTGAAGAGCTGTGCAACATGCTTGACCCAGATCAGAAAGACATCTCCATGGACCTGGAAACGTATCATGCCATCATGAAAGAGTGGATTGAAGACTGTAAGAGAAAATGGTAATAGCTTTTTATCAATCTATCTTGTAAAAACTTCTCTGAAAACAGGAGAGTAGAAAGTTCTCCTGCGGCTTGCGCCTTCCGTACTCTGAACAAAGATGGTATCAGGACACGGTAACCACAGTGTGGGTTTTGGCTGAAAGCTTTTAAATGTTACAAAGTTGGTAAGCAATCCAGTGTCATACTGATTTTGTGACTCTTGATGCTTCCTTGTTTCAGGGACGATGGTGTCACTGAGGAACCAACAGCAAGCATGGAAGACCTGGAATTTAAAGTGCATAAAAACACCTCTGAAGGTGCAGACTATTTTATTCTGTTTTTATGCAGGAAAACCCCACTTCTACTCTATAACCAAAAATCCCACCTCTTTCAGCAAAAAAGACACATGTCCGGATGAACATTACATCAGGAAGCTTGGAGGCCTTTGGGGGTGATGTGTCTAAAGGGGACATGTAAGTCCATTTAAGCAATTCTTTCTCGGAATTTAGTACTCCTAGCTTGGAATTACTTGAAAGCAATTCCTAGAACCACTGTTTCAGAAAACTATCTTGGCAGAGTTTCTAATCTGCACTAGCTCTTGATGCTACCATGTTCTTCCTCACAGCTTCTGCTCAGACTTAAAAACACACTAGTAACTTTTCCTACTGATATCTTGGTCCTTCTCTGTCCTTTGCCTTTTTAATTCCCTGTGGTCAGAGTTTTGCCGTATGTTTCTTTTCCTTCTTAAACTTCCTTCCCTCCCCCAAGTCTTAGGTGTATGACAATAGAAGACATTATCTCCTGAAAATCTGGTCCTTGGTTTTGTTTGGTTTTTTATTTTTCATAGTCATGACTTTGACTTGGATTCTGTTAATAGCAAAGCATTTAACAAACAGCAGAAGTTTCAAAGATAACTTTTGTGTTTTATGCATAGTCAGAAATCTTAAGATCTGCTTTCTGATGTTTCCCTATCGTTTTTCAGCATCTCAAAAGGGTGATCCTTGTTCAAGTTTCAGTTGAAAGCATAAGTGGGGGATGGTTTAAGGGAAAAGAAAGGATCCAGAAATTGTGGAGTTACTACAAAAGTATTAGCGGTGGCCTAAGAGGTGATTAACAAAGGCTTAAGATACTGTCATGCAGATATCCAGATGTGGCAGTTGTCTGGTGGCATATTTTAATTGCAGGGAGCATAAAAAAAAAAGTGCTTAAAACCAAAACAGTTCCTGGTGTCCATAGAAATAGAGAACTGATCTGAAGGTGATCTGATATCTCTGTGCAGAGCAAATAACTACACTGCAGAATTACAAGTCCTCTGTGGGCTCTCCTCTCTGATCAGTGCAGCACAGCATCAGGATTTTCAAAAAGTCTAAATTAGATCCCATCACCTTTCTCAATCTTTCCTGGTTTTGTTACTGGAATAGGGAGACTTCTGACTTGATAACCTGTGTTGCGGACCTGCAGTACAACAACCAGAAGCTTCAGGAAGAGAACAACAAGCTGAAGCTCACACTGGAAGCTGTGGATGAGACCAACAATAAGCTGTTGGCAGATAACGAGGATCTCCAGCAACAAATAAAAAGGTGGGAGACCCTGATGGCACCAGATCTACAGTGTAATGGCCATGGGCAGACCTATCTTTTTACAAGTGGTCCAGCCTTGCTTTATGCTTTTAGCCTTTTAGTGCTTCATGACAGCAACTTTCTTGACTCCATGTAGTATCTGTAAGGTTTAACCCTCTTGCCTGATTGTTCTGCTCTGCACCTCCTGGTTCATTCATCTTATAGCCTGGCTCTTGCAGCATGAGGTGCTGCAGGTGCAGACAGGCAAAATCTTAGGGTAAAGCAAAATCAAACAAACGAAACAAATTACAAAAAAAAAAAGGCTTCATATTACCAAGAGAACAGTCAAGCGCTGGAAGGCTTCCGATCCTAGACCACACACTTGCTGCCAAGCAGAGGGGAAATGAGCACATAAGAGCTATTTTGCTAGTCCCTTGAGGAACTAAACTGAGTTGTCTCACTAGCTTAATATTGCTGCAGCCTGGGGACCCATCCATACCACGAGTATGAGCCTATTTTTACAGTCATAATGCTCAGCTGACCCAATTAATTCAAATGTGATACAGTTATGTCAACTGCCAAACCATTCCCAGTATCTTCTGGGGAGATTAAGGCAAGAGTCCTGCAGCGTAGCTGGCATGGTCCTCATGTTGGACCATGTGCTCTGGGGTGCTCTGCAGCCTAGAGCTAGCCAGGAAAAGGGCCTTGCCCCGTTGGTTAAATATACATTGTTTGGGGTATCGGATCAGAATAAGGAAATGATGGAGCGCTTATTCTTGAAAACTGAACTGAAATGGTTTCCATAACTGCTAACAACGAAGTGTTGTGAAGATGAGTTTATGTGCTCAGGTAACCTGATATATTTGACTGTAACAAGCTAGATTGTTAGGTGGATGCAAACAAAAGCAAAAAATCTCAGATGCTCTGTTTGCCTGGGGTTTTAACTCTTACTGTGAGAGCAGAAGGGGGTGATAAATAGCAGGTAAGTCCGTGAGCCTTTACTTACTGGACAAAAATGGTGGGCTTAAACTTGATTGCTCTTCTGTTAAGTATCTGTGCCAAAGAGTAAGTCCCTAGTGGCTTCTAAAAATACTGTTCTTGGTATTTCAAGCCCATCTAATGACCAACAGTAACTCGCTAAAGTTTCTCTGGATTTACTTTCCCCCATGCAGCATCCAGCATTCTGTGCTGAAAGCCAAGTCACTGGAAGAAGAACTAGAAGAAGCAAAAAACAACCTGAACCTGTCAGAAGAGAAGAGACAGCAGATTCTTTGCCAGAATAAACAGCTAGTAGGTGCTCTTATTTCTTAGCTTACATTGTACAGCATCTCATACCTTGCTGTAGCAATGGTATGACTGCTCAGGCTGTAAAAAATCAGCAGTATGACCTCCTCTGTACCGGTATGTATTGAGGCTCTTTGGGGATATTTGAAATGTGATTTATTAGTGTTATGAAAACACTGTGAAGTTCCTTTAAACTATTGTCAGTTACAATGAAGAAAACAATTAAAAGGGGCAGTCTCACATATAATTATGCTTAAAGACAACAGCTCTTATGCTGCCATCATTGAGCCTTGTCTGCTTTGAAGTTGGTGATGTTCTGCCAGAAATTCACGTGGCTTTTCTAGAAACCAGCAGCGACAGCAGACTCTGTTCAGATGTCCACACGAAAGAGTCATTTTCCAAAACACCCCTAGGTTATTGTCAATGTCCATATGGGCTGGTAAGTATGACAAGGGCCTATCAGAAATCTGTCCATTCTGGACTGACAGCTGGAAGCCAGACAGCACACCTTGGCATGTCTCAAAGGGCACGAGCTGCCTACGTGAGAGCATCTGAATTGCATCCCAGGTATCTGAGTAGCAGAGCCTGTGTGACTGCAAGAGGTGTAAAGCAGCCTGGTAACACGGCTGATGTGGCTGCAGCGTTAGCAGGTGTTGCCAGACATCAGAGCGTAGGCTCTCCAGAGAACATATGTTTGCGTCGCTGTCATGCGTGTTGTTCACACTACAGTGGCATCTCTGCGTCTTTCTGTGTGGGCGTAGCTGTAAATTGGTGTTCCATAGCTCTGTGCACTGCTGATGGTGGGTATTTAGAAATCAAAAAAAGTCTTCTATGCTGAGCAAGGACACAAGATTTTTTCATGCTATCCTGCTGCAGTGTGTGTATGTGTTTGTTTTGTTTTAATTTCAGATTACATGCGTAATTCACCGTGTGAAAAGGAGATGGGGTGGGAGAGAGAAATATTATTAGAAGTTTGTAGTTGTGCTTATAAATCCCTTAGTTACTGTTCCCTGTGCAGTGGGATACTACTACCTTTCTTCATGTCTGATATGAAAAAGTGTAGTGTGGCACATAGGCTTTCCAGATTTGTCTTAACTCAAGCATGAGCACAACTAGACTTGCTCACTCTGGCCTTGAATACCTCCTTCCTATCATCTAGTGGTCTGACTTTTACTCTGATTTGAAATGCCTGTGTCAAACCCTTCAGTGAGGGTCATGAGCTGGACCAGCCTCAGCAGTCCCCTTTTTGCTGTGCTCTCTGAAGCCAAGGATGTGTTTGTGGTCTGTTGCTTTTTGGCTTAGTTTGGCTTTGAATGTTGAACTTGACATGCTAAAAACAACTAATTTGTGTTTGTCTCTCTCTCTCTTTCTCTATCTTCTTTTTTTTTTTTTTTTAATAAACCTGATCAGGAAAAAGAAAATCAGTCTCTCATCGTCAAAATTACTTCTCTCCAGGAAGAGGTAAAATAGATCATTACTTTGCAAGTACATGTTCTTGTCTAGCTAAAAGCTCACCATTAGAAATGAAATGTTTGTCAGACTTTGAAGCCTGACATGCTAATTAGGTTATCAAAGAAGATATATTTTACAAGAATTACTTATCTTAAAACTTTATATCTTGAAGTTGCACTGTGCTTCAGACTTTCCATTTGCTGGATAAGTAAAGATACGAGGTTGGGAAAGCATGGGGGGCAGGGACAAACAGCTTTTTTTCCCTGTTTTTCAAAGCTTTATAGCCAAATTCCAAATATTTCTAGTTAACACAGCTGTAAATATACTAACTCTATATTGAAACAGTCTCCATCTAACACTTTTTCATATTCAGTTCTGTTTCCCTCCTTTAAGATCCAAAGGAGGAGCCCTGTATAAAGCTGTAACTCCAAAAACTTGCAGTGGCTGGGGGCTCCAGTCACAGATGGGTCTATTGACACTGGCCAAGGACCTACAGGAGGCTTGTAGGGAATATACTGCTCATGGAGCTATATCTCTAGGCGCTCTTTTTTTTTTTTTTTTTTTTTTTTTTAAAACCCCACCCCCCAGCAGAGAGCTATTCATTCCTACTTTCTTTTATTTATTTCATTAAAGTAAGTATTTTATAAACCAGTTTTTATCAGGTGATAAAATGTTTTAATACTTGCTTACAGCCTGTGTTTTAAACTATTTAGGATGAAATAGAGAAACAGGTTAAATCACACATAGCAATGAAAAGAAGCACCTCACAGATTCGGGAATCTATTATAACAGCATGGTAGTCATTGTTCTTCGCATGTTTACCATGCTCAAGATTAGTCTTTCCAAAAAGCTCGTAAGTCCAAATAGCTATTAAACTGCATCTTTCAAAAAACAATTCTCATGCTGCAGGCCTGAAAGTTTTCCTTTAGCTTTCTAGTTTGGTAGTGCTTATAAATCACATTTTGAGGTTTTATCTTTTAACAGCGTTCTGGAGAAATAGGGGGAAAAGGAGCAGAAACAGTTTCAGTGGGGCAAGCACATACAATGTATGTGCATAAATGCTGGTAGTGTTTTAGAGTAGGCAGTAGCTTGGGGGTGGAGATGTCATTTTGCCTAGTTTCTTCAAGGAGAAGCTGTCAATCCATCCAGCTGTGCCTAAACACTCTGTTTCTTGTTCAGAATATTAGGAATAGCATGGACACCGATGGACTTCAAAAGAAGATTCTGGAGCTGTCTAAAAATGCAGCAGAGCTTCAAGTAAGCATTTCAACTCTAGGAGGAACAAAAAGACAGCCTGTAGTTTACTCGGGTCTAGTGAGGGGAATTTCTGCCTCTGAAAAGTAGACAGCCCTGAACCTGTCTGTAGTAAAGAACTGCATTGGACATAGCTTGGACAGCGTGACAGCTTTGACTAAGCAAGCTGCTGTCTGGAGGCTAAAAACTAGGCTAATACAAACAAGCCACAGTTTCCTTATTTCCTCTAAGTTTAAACGTTTAGGAAACCTTTTCCCCACTGTTTGAGGAAATACATTAGAAAGTCTGTAGACTGGTGTAGCTGAAACTATTAGCCTGGACAAGCAAGAGGGGAAAAAAAGGTGACTGTGAAAGGTGAGAATGCTTTCACTTTTAACTGGGTGCAAGATTTGAACTTTGAAACACACCATGCAAGGTATTCAAAGAAGAATTTGATTTTTCTAAGCAAGGAATCTTGATACCTTTTTTTCCCCTTCCAGGTACGAGATAGGAACAGACTCGTATTATAGTGCATACTGATGACTGGAATTATTTTTGATCTTTCCATTCTTTAGATCCAAGCACATATCTATGAGACCACTGTGGTGAATAAAGAGGCAAGCTTGATTCAGGTTAGTTGCTTTTACTTCATTACTGTCTTGGCTGAAAATACTGACTATGGGATGATTTGTAAAAAGGCAAGGCAATAATCTGCATTGTGGCACTTTTTTTTTTTCTACTGTTCTCACACTACAGAACCTGATTCTATAAATGGCTTCAAAGTAGGCGAGATCTGCTTTAGGACCTGGTTATGAGTCAGCATAACTAAAGGTTTCAGGATTTAGCTTTTATTTAAAAAAACAACAAAAAAATCGCAACCTATTAAAATAAAAAAAACTTGCAAACTTCAGAAAAATGTACAGAAACTTCTAAAGGCTACTTCCTTCAACAGTTGGTAGAAGAATGTACCTGCAGAAGATCCTTCCTTTCATGTCGCTTACTTAAATTGCTTAAATTTTGTGTCAAACTAGAAATGGTGATTCAGAGCCCAATGGAAAAGCAAATTTGTCCTTTCTCATTACTGAGGTGTAATTATCTAGGCTTTGCTGAAGAGTGAGCATTTCTGACACTGTTTTTAAACTTGTATTTTGTATTGGAAAACAAAGGCGTAAGACTACATAAGGGTGGTGGCATTCTCTGGATTCATGAATTATGCAAATAGCCTTCTAGGTTAATGGAGTTTCTATTCAGCAGAACATGTTTTAAATCAGCTGATGAATTATTTGACTATTAGGCTGTCTACAAAAATGAGTGCAGCTGATGTCAAACAGTGACAAAAGAGAATCTAGCTTCAATGTGATCCAACTAATCATTTTGTAGCTAAGTGTTTTTTAATAGGGTGGTTTTTTTTTTGCCAGAAGCAGCTTAAGGGTACAAATGAATTAACTTTTTTTTTTTAAATAGCTTTCACTTTCTCCTCCTTGACTGATTCAAAGCTTTTGTGGCCTCTGTAGTATCCTTTTATTTTAAAAAGGCTTTTTTTGTCTATTGACTAAATGGGAATTTTGAAAGCAGACTGCTAGATTGCATGTTCTTGTAGATAAAGGTGGTTGGTTTGTATAATCTTGAAGAAACTGGTGTGTAAAACTGACTTCGCTTGTTGGAATTAGGATCTGTAGGATAAGGGTTTACCTGTAAGCTAAAAAAACCCTCTCATAGCTCTTTATTGAAAGGTAGATTGGATAGGATTGATGGTCACTGAAAATTATTATGGCAACCTTTCTTATCCAGGCCTGCAGAAGGTATGTGAAGATAGAAAACACTTCCCCCGCCCCCCTTTAACCTTCAGCACCATACATCAGTTGTCTCTGCCAAGGCTGGAAACCTGGTTCTATAACCTCACTTTTCCTGCTTAGCTTTCTGTGCATTTCATCTCTTTCAAAAACCTCAACTCTTTTTAAAGAGGAAGAATAGGAAGAAGTCGTAAAAGGGGTGAGAGGACCAGAACTCCTATTTGAAGTTTCTGTTTTCTCTAAGAAATGCTCTGCTTGTCTGTGCAGTGTCTTCTATTGTAATGGCATAACATGACTGAAGCCCGTTGCTAGTTTGTGATGCTAAGAAAGCTACTACTTCTACTAACTCCTCAGTCTTACCATGAGGGTTGATACGTTCTCTATCAGCCCTTCCATTAGGCGGTGTTTAATCTGCAGAGCCCTACACTCTATGCCTTTAATCATGAAAACTAATGACAGTAAACTTGGAACATTGCAACTTGTTTTAAGGGTCAGTTGGGATTAAAACTTGTGCCAGGCATAATATAGTCCAGGTTTTCAGCTAAAACTAGAGTGCTTCTGTCTAGTTTAGTCTGCTACTGCTGGTACAGAAACCAGGTAAATAATGAATTAAAACACAGCACCTGGAAAGAGTTTTTCTGTCTCCTTAATTTCAGGAGTTGCATAGAAAAGGTCTTCCAAGTGCTTTCCATTAGCCGTATGCAAGGTAGTTGACTGTATTCTTTTAAATTTGCAACTATTTTTATGTTAGGTAATTAGGTTGCTGCTCAAACCTAAATCATACAGCTTACCTTTGTGATGTAGGATTGAGTATAGTGTTGTTTTGGTTACAAAGCATCATAGCTGTAAGTATTACAAATGTACTTCAATGTGCTAGTTGTCAGGTTGTGTGCTTTAAAGGTTGTTTTCTCCACAATCTCTGCAGAAGGAGCAGGACATCAAAGAACTGAAGTTAACCATTGTGGAGTGTTCCTCAATAATAGAGGTATGAGACCGAGTTTAGTTTTTGACTATGTGAGGGGAAATCATGCATATCCTATGCTTATTCTGCATGACAAAGTAACATTCTAACCAGGTCTGATGTTATGTTTTTAGACTTTGCGGGCAGAAAAAAATAAGCTACTGGAGAACATGCAACACATGCAGCAAGAGCTTATCTCGTGAGTATTGTGAACAAATCCCAGGAAATGCAGTTCATCAAAAGTCAAAAAGGGCTGATACGTATTTTTTTTTTCTGCTTCTTTTAGAAATGGGTTGAGTTTCCCATTGTTGTGTAAATTTAACAGTAATATTCCTGAAGGGATGAATTCACTGCACTGTGAACTGGAACTTGCTCAGTCCTCTGAGGTATGAATCAAATCTTTACTGAATCTCATCCCAGTTGTCTTGCATCACTAAAGGAAGAGCAAAGCTCATTCCCTGCAGATCATTAGATAACGCTGGAATTCGAAGCCATTAATCCTAGCACGCAAGCATAGAATGTGAATATTACAGTATTGTCCCAAGTACACTGGAGAAAGTCCAAAGAAAAGCAAGCAAAACACTCAGATCTAAAAAAAAGAGACCTATGAAGTAAATCTGGAAAAGCTAGGGTCATGCATTTAGCTGGCAGAAGAACAGACTGATAGGAGAAGATATGAGTTTTAAATATATAAAGGCTATTATGCTGAAGAAAGTTAACAGTCTGTTTCTTCTTGTATTGCCTACACCAGACACGAACAATGGTTTTCAATTGCAGGAGGGGAGACTTCTTTTTCCTCAAAGTCTAATGTAGTGAAAAAGAAAATTAAGCATTAGAGTAAGCATCTTGACAAGGTTGTAGAGTCTTCATCTAATTTATTCTTTAGAAACTCTGATAAGCACCTCTCTGTAGGTACCATTCCCTTGCCCCTCAGCAGGTACAATGGTGACTGATCTTTAGAAGTCCTGTCCAGCTTTTTTCTTCTGAGGTCTTAGGATAGTGACTCAGAGGAGGACAGGAGAGGCATCCTTTTGATGAGTCTGGCACAGGCTGACAAAATCTTAGTACTGCAGTTGAGCCTGTTGGTTTCGAGTTGTCCTCTGCAGAATACCCAGCGGGTGGTTTGGTGACCTTTGGGAACTATGCTTTTGATCAGACGCACTTCACATAACACTGGAAGTTTGGTCTCTTATTTACTGTTCTGATAGCTTTCCAGCACTCCAGTGAAGAACTACGGGAAAAAAACAATTTGCATGTACACTATGGTTTTGGTTCAGATTTTTATCTGAGCTATTCTGTGCCCGCTTCCCTAAAGATGTTCCATGGAGTCCCATCCTTCCTTACAGTGTTGTCTTCCCTTCAGATGCAAGCTGTGCAGCAGAGCTGATAACAAATATATGCTATTGCAGTGATTTTTCTTGTAAGACTTCACCGTGCTGTTATTTGCTTTTACATGTGCTGCATTTGCAAAGAGTTAGCATTTGCAACAGAAAAAAGTCTACTAGTGGACTAAAACTACAGGCCCAGAAATGAGAGGTATGCTTGGCTAGGCAGCTCTGTTTCAAAAGTAACGTATTGTCCCTTATTGCAGCTCCCCACAGCCACAGTGAGTCACTGTGTTTACCTCTCAAATGCTATAAAGAGACACAATTCCACCAAATCACCTGTAAAGCAAGAAAGGGCTCTGCTAATTCATTATTTCGTAAAGCCTCTTCTGAATAAAGATAACTAATTATTGACTTCCTCTTGCCTATTCCTGACACGAAAATTTGCATTGGATCACTCAACAGCTTGGCTGGACTGCTTTTTTTAAATCCCCATGACATGGTGGTTTTGAAAAGCTTTTACAAGCTTCAAGTTTCCGTAGCTCTGACCTTCTGGTAAATACAATGCAGGGATAGTTCAGAAAAGTCTAAATGTCACTGATGCTGGTTTGTAATAAGGAGATGTCAAAATAAGCTAGCTGGCTCTTCCATCTCTTCAAAGATTACCAAGACTGAATGGACGTCCCTGGATGAAACACTGGACCGTGAAGTGCTGTTTTTACTTCAGGGACCTGAATATGCGGGAGAAAAATTTAAGACTACCATGCAAAACCTGGTCAGTGGTAGAGCTTATGTAAATAAGGATGTGGTCTTCTATCAGCCTTTTAATTAGGATTTCTCCAAGCATTGATAATCAGATCATGTTCACTCCTTTTGAAAAAATAAGAATAGCTTCTTTGGGGGTGGAGATGGTGGTATACTTACTCTAGCAATATTACTTGGCACCTACTCTAATGCTGTAACTTATAACCTGGGTAATTCTGGGCAGCATTGTATCAGGCTAGTACTAGAAATGCCAGGTTTGGGTTTTTTTTGTTTTTGTTTTTTTTTTAAAATTCCCCCCCCCCCACTCCAGCAAGAGGAAGCCTCTGAAGCAGAGGAGCTTGTCATGACTTCTTTACAATGGGTAAAAGATCCTGATGTGAACATGCAACAGGCTTGGGAGAGAAAACTTGTGGTAAGTAACTGCTTCTCTGCCGCTATTTTATGAAATAGTGGGGCTGTGCAAAAACTTAAGGTGGGTATCTTACTGCTGCATGCTATGTGTATTAATTACTTGAGCTCATAGCAGCCCATTTTGGGGCCAGAGATGGCTGTATGGAGAGAAACATCTTTTGTAACTTTTTTTTTTTGAGGAGGGAGGGATGATTGCTTTTCGCTTAAATGCTATGATTTTCCTGACTTGTCTTGTGCAAGATCTCACTTTGTTAAAACTATGCTTGAAGGAAAGGGTAGATGAAGTAAGTCGATTTGAAGAGCAAAATGAGGTCAGACGACAACACTGTATTGTGTTGAGCTATGAAGCTTTTCTGCCCGCTGCATGTCTGTCTGTCCGAGCACCCATTTTCCCGTGTGCTCTGAATCTGACTACGGTAGTGGACAGTTTTCACCATCAAAAGGAGGAAGGAGGTGGCTTTATAACCAGATTCCCAAATCAAAACCTTCACAGGGTTTGCTTTCTTTTGAAAGGCAAAGTGTTCTGCTTTTGCTGGATACACTCCACAGGAAAAGTTTCTACAAAATCGTATTTTACAACTTAATCTTGCATAATGTATTTTTACTATTCTTCGTACCTCAAGTGAGGCTTGAAAGTAAAGACTTTTGCTCAAGGTAACTGGCAAAAATAACTTCCCCATGTGGTAGCAGCAGTCTGTGGACACAGCTCAACTCTCTTGCTCTTGTTCCCTCCTCCCCTCCCATGTAACAGCACGGTTTCTGCAATTTTCATCTTACTGGATGTAGCTTTTTCTCTAACCTGCTCCTTGTTACTAATCTGTTGTTAGGAACACTCCTACAGAAAACTCCACCGAACTGAATACTACTGCTGTCTTTTGGCTCCTTAATAGATGCAAAAACCTCAATTCATCCCACTTGGGTAATAGCAGGTGGCACCACAGTACGTGCTGCTTTAAGCTGTTAGCTTTTAAGTAGAAAGCTACCCTTCTTTTCCTCTAGTGCTGCAAAGTGTTGTAGCTGGCCCTCTTCATCTTTCCTGGGCAGGCGGGAGCAATCATTGGAGCCATCCAGTCCTGCAGCCAGCTTTTTTAGCTTTTTCTTTTTTTGTAAATCCTGAAAGCTTCCTCTTGGAGAAGGTGTAAGCGTCTTAAGTCTCTTCACCCTGGTGTGACTTTGGGTAGGCTCTAGGAAACTGCTGGCTCGTGCATTGCTGTAACTTTTTGGTCTTGACTAAAAACTTTCTCCTTCAAAGCCTGTCACAGCTGAAAAAGGATTGTTAACTTACCATTCATGTTGGGATCGTATTCCTGTTAAACATGTGAAGCTAAACACTTTTGGTGTGGGTGTTGGAGTTGATTGTGGCAAATTAATCCTATTTTGGCTCCTAGAGCGCGATGTGTTTGGAAACTAAGCTAACAGAGGATCAAGGAAGAACAAGATTCTTTAAAAATAAAAGGTCCCGTCCTTTTGGGACCCATGGGGATGGGAAGTGACTTCATGTTAAACGTATTGTCTTCACCTAGCTAGAACAAGTCAGATATGTGGGAAATATGGTATATGGAGCAGAACAACAGTAAATCCAAAAAAAGAAAGATTCAGAGTAGCTTCTTCTACCCTTAGAGAAAGCTTTTGCAGAAAAATGAATTAAATCTTGGACCATGCACTATCACTTGAAGCCTAAACACTTCTCCACTGTTTCCTGTGAAATATATTATGGACGTGTTTTGCTGGCTTTAGTATTTTTAAATATGTTTTAAAGTATATTATAATACATAAAGTGAATTTGAAGTGTGCTTGTGTTTTTTGTGTGTATATACATATATTTAAGCATATATAGATGGTGACAGTAAAAACTTTTTCACCCTTCTCCTGCTGGAAGATAAGACTGTAGCACATGTGCCCTGATAAGCCTATACCACTTAGTGTCAAACCCATGCTATTTCTAAGAGCAAGTGCTGCCTGTTCCTTGGCTGGGAAACTGATCTTCAGGATGTGGGCATATGCACATGGTCACATCCCATGTCATCCCAGTAAACCTATCTAGCAAAACTGCTCAGGCTCTCTTTTTTTGTAGCATGATACTTGATGTGCTACGCTTTTTTGTTTGAAGCTCATGAACAACATTAGACTCTAACTTGCAAGTAGGTAACATGGCCCATATTAGGATTGATGTTTTCCCCTTTGAACTAATGCAAAATCCCAGAAAACCTCATTCTTACCTGGCCTCTGTTTGACTCTCATTAAGCATTCTTTAAAAGCTGAGGACTCTATTTTGTGTGTCCAGTTGAACAAGGTCAGAGAAAGAGGACTGGATTTTTCTTTCTCAATACTTATACTGCAAGTCACTGTTCAGAGAAATACAGAGGATGCAATGTTACTTAACACTTCATTTTTACCGTCTTCCCCTTTTTCTTCCTACAAATCAGAGGTAAAACTGAAAGCCTTTGTCACAGGGGTCATCCCCTGGACAGATTTCATCTGCTAGGCATGTATGACAAACTAAAATAGGATTTATAGGTTTTTTTTTTTTTTTTTTATTTTGCTGTAATACAAACTCAAATCGGTGCCAGTGGACTTAGTTGTACTTTGAGGAAAGGGTCACAGAATTCTAAATTATCAATTTTAGGGCTTCCTGCAAGATGGTAATTATTAAAACTTTTCCTTATGAAATATGGGTTTTGTTGCTGTATTTGGGCATCTTGTGATGGAGGTTTTCTGGGGTGAGTTGTAAAGATTCCCTCGTGCACCATGTAATCTTCTGCCACGCTTACCATAAATACTTGCTAACCATATATTTGTTTTACAAGGGATAAAGAGGAAGAGGACTATCTGTGTACCCTAGATCTGCCCAGAAAGAAAGGCTGAGAGCAGCTTTTGACTTAGAAGTAACCTTTTGAAAAAAGTAGGAGCCATTTATCAAATTGAACTAGCATATGGAAGGCTTACGTTTTCTTGTGCAAACTGTTATGTGGTGCTTCATCATAAAGTCTTAAAGTACTAACACTAGACAGGAGTCTAGCTGGTCTGTCCCCACATCCCGTCAGATTCAGGAGTTAAAAGGCTCAGGTTTAAAGCTTAGGTAGCTTTGTTAACCTATTAGATTGCACAAAACACTGTTTTGTACAAAACACACGCCCATTTCTCCTTTATAATCTCTTCCTTATTAAACTGTATTTTTCCTCATTTCTCTCTCTCTCTCACTCTCTCCCCCCTTCCCCAGCCAGCTGCTGTGTGAGTAGATGGCAGAATATTGTCAATCATCCATCTTCTTTATTGCTGATAGTGTTGGATGTAGGTGATGATGCTAAATGGTGGAGCAAGGAAATCAATTCTCATCATGTAAATTGGGGCTCTGGTTTATTTTCTGGCTCTGCTCCTTATCACATGGCAACTCAATTTCAAAATTCCACAGGTTCTCAAGCAAGAACTAGGAGAAAAAAGACACCTGTGGATCCAGAAACTTAATCTCTTAGAAAAATACAAAGAATCCCTAGATAAGGATTTTATTCGAATGGCGAGCAACCTGAGGAGAACCAAGACAGAGCAACTTCACGTAAGGAAAGAGCTCTCTGCCAGGTACCCCTTTAAAGCATGTGTGTCTTTTTTTTGTTTGTTTTGTTTTGTTTTGTTTTTTTTTGTTGGTTGCTTAGCTGTTTGGTCGGGGGGGTGGGGGGTGGTGTTTTGGGGTTGGGTTGGGTTAGGGTTTTTGTCTCGTAGGACAAAGTTCACTGAATTCCGAAGACTTTTTTTCGCAGAGGAAATTATCTGCTGTTTTGGAGAGTGGATCTGGTTTTAGCATGACATTACATTATGTGGGAGTTAAGGTTTGTGTATGAAGTAACATACGATCTTGGAGATGTCTCTGAAAACACCAAGGAGACCACAGACTGAGCAGTTAAACCAAGAGGGCACTGCCTATCTAGCAGGTGCAACCATTAAACAAACTGCTGGGTTTGTGTGAAGCAGAAGGCCTGTAAAATATATACCTGCAGGTATTATTGCTTTGGGAGACAATTGCTAGCCCCAGACGATACAACGTCTGCTTCTCAAGGGTATAGCTTCAATGAGTTATCTCATCAAATATGAAAATGTAACTTTAAATTTTAGTTTATTGGCACATGGTTCCTGCTATGAGTTTTGATGTTACAAATATGGCAGCAAAAGACAGCAAGTGTAAACCTCTGCCTGCCTGCCATCCTTCCTCTCCTCAGACATTCAGGAAAGCAGCTAGTCAAGGTTTTTTTGTCAGAACAACTAATCTGAATTTGTTTTCTTTGTGGAACCCAGGCTTACTCATAATGTCAGCCTTCTGTTATCCTACACTAAATGTAAATTTTTGCATGCATGCCTTTACCTGTGTTTGGGGTGTAAGCAGCTTCCTAGGGCTTTGCATCCCTGAGAGCTAATGCAGAGAAGTCATACCACACTTTTGCCTGACTTATCTTCCACTTAACGTTGTTAATGTAGACCTCCCACATGCTCTCCCTTCTCTCAGAAAAGAACTGATAAAAATACTGATGGTTTGGTTTCTTAAAGCTGCCTCTCTGTATCAAAATTGTTTGTGGTGGTAGCAACAAGGAAAAAACAAAATGAAGGTGAGTTAGAGAAGAAATGGTCAAAGGGTTTATACAGTGGAAAAGAAGGGGTTCCTTGAAAGCCATCATCTTTAGCACTGGTCTTGGTGGCATCTGTTTGCTGTCAAGTGAAATACCCTCTGAAACACTGGGAAATTAACCTGATGAAGCTGTGAGCTGTGTATCTGCAGTAATAGCTCCAGGGTATCTTTTCTACAATGATTGACTCTATATCCGATTACTGTTTCTCCCAAACCATGAGACAGTGCATTCTTTTGACCAAATTGCAAAAGTTTGCCTCACTAAGCTCTTGCTCTTTGAGAGTTCTCTGGATATTCCACAAGCTTTCACTTTGGTACCTGGCCGGCTGGGGCTGGCACAGCCATTGCACTGTTCAGCCGAGGAGAAACCAGGGAAAACCTCAATCCCCTTCCTAATGCTGGAGCTGCTATAGAAAAGCCTTGTCTGCCTACTGGGTTGAATTGTGCTTAGCAAGAACGAAATCCCTGGTGCTGGATCCTGGGGAGCTGCAAAATGTAACAGCTGAATGCGGTTCTTGATGCATGTCTCAACAACTAGTGTGTGTCATCTCCCAGGCATGCCTGCTCTCAAATGTCAGTAACGGATTGTGGTTTGTGCTCTCTCACCCCGCAGGCAACGTGAGATAGAAACTGTCAAACAGTTACAAGAAGAAACTGCTCGCCAGGCAGAAGCTCTTGGTTTAGAGCTGCAAAAAGCTACAAAGAAGCTGGAGGATGCCAGCAAACAGGTAAGGGACAGTCTAATTCCTTCTACGCAGAAACCAAGCAAGCAGATGCAAAAGGCTATGTACAATGCATCGCTGCTCTTGGGAAAGGAAATCGCATGTTCGGAATGGAGTGCCTCATTGCAAAAGTGGAACCAGCAGAGGAAGTAAAATTTGAGGGGGTGGTGACAACAGTTTGCTGATGAAAGAGGCAGCATTGCATATTTGTGGTGGCTTAAAAAAAAAAAAAGAGGAAAAAAAAAAACCCAAAAATAGCTTCCATACACAGTCCACCCCAGTGTAAAAATGCAGAAGTTCAGAGGGAGCTTTATCACTTCCTGAGAAAGAACAGATGCAGTTTGGTTTCATTTACATGAACTGTAGAGACTCCTTGTGTTAGTGAGGCTGCTTTATTTTTTTTTTTCCTTCCCGTCTTTTTTCTTAAATATTGTTTTGTGCTTAGGCGGAGGATCAAGTTGAAGCCTTTCACTCTGCTTGTGAGGAAGCCGCATCCTTGCAACGCAAGTTAGAGGAAGCCATTTCTGAGCAGCAAAAACTCAAGGATGTGAATGCAGCTCTAACAAGCACTTGCCAGTTGCTTCAAGAAAAGGTGGAAGACCAGAAAAGTGAGTAACTACTGGCAGTGTGCCAGCATTCACTCTTGCACGGGCAATTCCTTTATGGTTTAGTCTATAGCAAGGGGGAATAGGACTGACCTGCAAGTAATCTGGTAAAATTACTCTGTGGAGTCTTTTTTTTTTTTTTTTTCTTCTTTATTCCTTTCTTTCATTCTGTTTTTCCTTCTACTTTGAGATCTGCAACCATGGCATCTGGGCTGAGAATCAGGTGGGATCCTGATGAGTGGGTGTTGGGCTGGACAAAGCTGCAGAACCTGCTAACAAAATCTCCAGTCCTAGGAGGAGGGCTTAGTGACTCCATGGGTGGCACTGGCACTCCTTTACCGAAGCTGCTGTTCCCACACCTGAATAGTCCACCTTATTCCTAACAAACTCATCTGTCTTTCTTAAGCTTCCTGTACCAAAGGGACCTGGTTTTTATGTTCTGCATGCTGCTTGTATTTGCTTTGTGTTTTTGAATAGCTGCATGGTACTAGCCTGTTCTCTATAGTAGAAAGCAATCATGTCATTGCATTCTACACGTGCAATTTTTGCTACAGAACCATGGAAACTTCATACTACCTCTTGCTCACTTGCTAACATCAACATCTCAAAAGCTGGGCAATTACAGAATGCAGTGGTTTGATTCCAGCACACGTGGCTTTTTCTTTCCAAGTTCTGGAGTGCGTATCACTTACAGGAAAAAAAAATGCTGGCTGACTTGAGCCCGCTGAACGTTTGGCCTCAGGCATGCATTTCCCAGGGCAATGTAACGGATGCTCAATATATATGTGTGTTGTAAACAACTTTATGTGAAACTACAATTTGTCTTGTAAGAAAAATTACACAGGACCCTATGTCTTAGCTCTAAGGCACAACTGTTATGCACTGATGTGGCAGAAACAGCTCCAGAGTGTGCTTGCTGACTTCTGATCAGTATTTCGGCATTGTTCACGTCTGTGTGTGCTCATGTTGCTTTCATGCTTACTTCTTCCTTCAAACTGTGGGGTTGGTTTTTTAGCAAGAGGCATAACAATGGAAATAGTGTGTCATCTTCCAGCTCTGAATAGACAAAGCTCTCTGAAAAGTGAGCTAGAGTAAATGAAAAGAGAGAGAACCCCAGACATGTGGAAGAGACTGGTGCCACTGTGACTCAAAAAAACCAAACCAAAACAAAAAACCCAAACAAACCCCCAGAAATCACCACCACCCTGAAAATGGCTGAGACTTTGGTTTTAAATGACTCCAGGTAGTTTGCAGAAATCTCTTTCTGTAGATAAATAGAAATAAACTGGTAAATGTGTAGAGAAGTTGCAAGGTATTATGAAGAACAGGGCTAACAAACAAGGATGGGAGTGGGGGAGGACAATACTTTATATTGGTTCCCATAAAAGCCAGACAGGTCTAGTGCCCCTTCTGACTGAAGGGCTGGGGTGTAGTCTCTTCCCCACCCACCTACCCACTCCATTTGCCTATTTTCCCCCCACTCAATGATGAGATGAGAAATGAGGGAACCTGTTGACCAAGGAAGCTACTTCAACCTAAGTCAGCCTGGCACAGCTCCTTCTGTGTTTCAGATGTCTAATCATGCCTTGCCACTAATTGCTACGGCCCTCATCCAGTGAAAAAGCTGAATGAGCCGCTGAGAGCTGCCTTCAATTTTTGCTTGGGCACTGAGGTGACAGTGCTAATGAAATCTCCTTTCCCACCCAACCCCCATTATTAGCTGCGGTACAAAAGCTATGATAGACTTATATCAAGGTAGAAGTCACCAGAGGCAGGCCCTGGCATTACCAAATTTGAACAAAGAATGTTTCTAAGTATAACGTAAAGCCCATTGACTTGAAAACTTCTGTACAGGATGTCAAATTGGAAGGACAAATGCTCCTCTTCCAGTAAGTTGTAATGGAGTCGTCCATTTCCACAGGGAACTGTGGCACCTTAATGCTGATGATGTGGGGAAGCATTCCCCCCCTTTATAGCAAGGGGAAATGTAACCACAAAAAAATGCCCAGTGTTTTCTGGAACTTGCAAAACAAAACGCACTTTTAAAATTCTCTTTCCTGTGAAAAAGTGTTGTAAGTATAAAGCAAAGTGCAATGGGCTTGTGATAGGCAGCAGTCAGGTTTAAAGACGCTAACATCTGACTGCTTGTTATCAACTTACAAGGAACCCTGTAAGACTTGTAACTGTTTCTTCATAGCAACTGTTAATACACTACGATGGGAGCTGCTTCAAAGGCGACTCTGTGAATTGCTGTGTCAGGTATGATGCTTGTCTGGTGGGAGAAGAAATGGTAGGCTTGCACAGGAGGAGGTGCTCTGGTGGAAGGACATCTACAGCTGAGATGAACTGCAAGTAATTTGGCAGCATCTGACTTCTTTTCTAACGTGTACATAACTGTAGAGGCAGTAAACTGTATGTACTGATCTGCACATTATTATTTTCCTTCTTCAGCCTTCTGGAAAAAATGGGCTAGAACTTACAGGTGTGGTGTTGGTCTCCACTGTAAGCAATTGTTGGTGATCATATCAAAGAGGGCTGAGGGAAGCTTTCCCTGATGCGTTGAGTGATTTGTCCCCGACAATCAGCCCTCTCTTCTGCAGACAGTCTTGAAAACAAATGTTTAAAATCTTGTAATAAAATATTTCTCAGTATCCAGACATTGAATAGGCAGTGAAAGAGTTATTACCTTTGTGCCCCTCTGTGGAAATATGTTGGAAATTATATAACTCTGGAGTACTTTGCTTTGAATAAAAACGCTTTCTTCAAGTTTGGAAGGGGGTGGAGGGGGAGATGTTGTGGGAGGACTTTTTTCCCAACGAGCTCTAGTATGGAACGCTATAGCTCAGGGTCTGAACGGTCTGGATTTAACCTAGAGTACCAAGGTATTTATAAAGACAAACAGAAGACCCTAAAATGTATCCTAGGCTGTAACAGGGGCATCAGAGGAGCAGAATCAAAACTGTGGACTAGCTGTATGTGAATAAAACTTGTATTTGTGCATAAAGGTCTACAGAATTAAGGGCTTGAAAGTCACAAGGGGAAACAACAGCATAGTTTTCCTGATAGGTGAAAATAGTTCAATTAGATAGAATTCCATTTTGTTCATAATCAGTAGTAGTGTTCCTTCTCTTTTTTACCTTTTGTTTTGTTTTCTTTCTACGTCTGCCTGCTCTATTGCAACAGTGCTGTGCAGAGTTAGAATCTGACTACAGTCTGCTGCCCACATCAGCTGAGCCGGTAAAAGGGAAGGTAAGTGTTTGATATGACCGTTGCTGAGCCTGTTAAAATGGGACACTAGTTTTGTTCTTAATTTTTTTTTTTTCATGACCTGAACGAAACAAATAACTTTCCTTGTAAGAAACTTTGCTAAGTTAAACATTCAATAAAAATAATTTGAGAGATAAATATTTATGTATATATCCATGTACATGTATACACACATGCAAAAGTATATTCAAAACCTTATTGCAAAACCAGTTTCCTATTGCTTCTGAACAGTCACTGTGACAAAATACAGGCGCTAGATAAATTGCATTTTGAGAAGGATCAGAGGCTGAAGATGGGGCTATATCTTCCAATTTCTTTTCCGTTTTTCATCACTTAAGCAACATTAGGTCAAATGCAGCTGCGTGTTGCTTCAGAAGTTTCCTCTAGCCATCTTCAGATGGAACTTCTTCAGCAGTAAACAGCAAGCACGTGGTGTGCATGGAGGGGCAGGGGATGGTGGGGGCAGTGCTTTGTCTCCATGCAGCCAAACTGGAGCTGCCCTTCTGCTCCTGCTGAGGGAAATCTGACTTGCGTAGCAGGTGCTGGACACTGGACGAATGTTCCCCTTCTCAGTCTGTCTGGTTGGCTTGGCTTGGCTGGAAGGGTGGGATTTTTTGTGTGGTGGTGGTTGGTGGTGGTGGTGTTTTTTCCCATGTTTTGTTTGTTTTTCACAGGGTTTGGTTGGTTCTTTGGTTTTGTTTTTTTGTTGGGGTTTTTTGGTCTGGTTTTTTTTTTTCTTTTTTCTTCTCCTGTCCTGCTCATCTTGCCTGGTTTTGTAGTATCTAGTTCCAGACCTAGGTTGAACCAACACGTCTGTTGCAAATGTAAAGTTGAATTATTCTAACGCTTCCTGTATCTGTTCTGCCCATTAAGGATGTGAACTTTTCTAGGCAAAAAAGCAACAGATGATGTATTTGTATAACTGTTAGTATTACATTATGCAGATGCAACTGCGTGTGTGTGTGTGGGGGGAGTTGGTGGCATTAATATATTCAGCGTGATTGAACAACAGCACTTTCTATTTTTCAATTAGCAGCTCCATTGCTCTAAACGACTGTGGAGTGAAGGACCCACCCTGTGCACTGAAATTCCCAGGACACTGCCCTCGGATATTTCATGCTGGCGTAGTACACCTCTTCTAGGTAAGACCTGGTGGTGTTGGCCATTTTTCTGTCTCTCTCCTGAAATATAGGAAGAGTTGATCGGTGGTATAGAACAGTATCACTGGTGCTAAGCGTGCTGGTAGAGTGTGGAAAATCTATTGTTGGCTTTAGCCTATTTTTGCGTGTAATCCAGGAGGCTGAATCATATTTGAATGCTTGCAATTAAAAGCCTGAAAAGGTGGCTGCCTGTCAGCCTAACAGCGTAAGGAACAGCCCAAAAGCTTAAGGAACTCCTGGTGTAAGTCATACATCCCAGCATACTCCTGACAAGATGCTTGCCAGTCTGGATTGAGAGGGCTTGAGTTATGTTCTTCCCATTCATCCTGTTGACTGGCACACACTGAGATAGCCAGCAATGTCCTGCTACTTCGTTACTGAGCTGCGGTCAGACCTGGTTTAAAAACTTGAATAGGTAACATAGCTACTGAGAATCACATAACTGTATTTGTTGATTTCTCCTGCATTCATAAGGTGTCGTACTTCCCTGTAACTCTCAAGCCTTACAAGTATTAAAAGCAACCACTGACAGATATGCATTGCAGGGCCACAGAACTAAAGAGTGCATTTGGGCTT